TTAACAATAGTGGTAGTAAAGACAATGAAATATAACATAGATAAGTTAACAAGTAGGTATTGTTACCATTTTCGTAGGTTGTTAAAACCAAATACCAAGTATCATTAGTAAAACACAATATTCTTTTATTTTTTTTGTCACAATCGTACTTCACTTATCAGACAAATACCTATAAAAATATTTGTTAACTAGTAAGGGACCGAAATATTAATAATAGAAAAAATTAATTTTTTCAAACGAACATTCTTAGCAAATAGGCCTGTTTTTTTTTGTTTTTGTTCACAATCTTAATTCATTCAATAAACTTTCACAATACAAAGGGAGGGAATTAAGCATCCTCGACCACCAATACAACATACTTTAAGCATAATTAAGCATAAGATAGATAATTCATCGCGAGAGATGGACAATGAATCCAAGGCGTGCCTCGAATGCGTCAAAATGGTCTTCTCGGCAAAGCCGGAAATCCACAAAGTGGTCACTTTCAAATGTGTCGTTGAGATCGAACTCCTACCTCCGGTAATCGTCGAGACAAATCCGGTTGCTTCTTTTGGTCCCGAAAATACGGCTACACAAGAAAACGAATCGGTGAGAAAATTCTTAGGAGTTCCCGGCGCCAAGCTCGGGAAAGAACGCATTCATTATTAGTCCCGAAAATAGGCCTGTTTATACATTATATTTTTCTCTATGGCATTGCACGAGAACGAACTTCGAAAATGACTATCTTAAAATAGCTTCATGATTATTTGAGAGTAAAACATTTGTTCACTCTGAATTCCCGATTAGAAGTTAGTAAAACATACAATATCATTATCTTAGAAAAGTTTCATGATTGTTTGAGAGAGAAGCCTAGTGCCATATTTCTCCATTTGCATGGAGAAAGTCTACTGACTTTAGCCTTCTGACTCTAATGTCATCATTTTTCGATTTGCAATAACTTAAAAACTATGTGAATATTTACCCACTCCGATGACATTATTAAAAATTACCGATGACATCATTAAAAACTATCAGATACTTAGGTCTTCCAAAGATTTCACCTAAGTTTTGTTTAGGTATAACCGAAGATTCCAAATCGAAAGGCTAAACTGTAATTGCTGGAACTTGGATCAAGTTAAGATTTAATGAAAACCATATCTGTTCTTCCAAATGAGACAGAAAATATCCAATTATAACAGAGTTCTTACACAATAGTTTCCATA